GTTAGTGGGGCGTTGTGCGATACAATAAGGTGAAGCGGATCAATTGTATTGTGCGAACGGAGCTTCTTCGTATGCCTGTATCAGAAGAAGGATGACTGCAATATGGCCCTTGGTCTGCAGGTTGACAGCTGACGCTTCTATTGTCATTAAGCTGGATGTGGTGAAACTACCGATCCAGTAGAAACTAGTGTCGCAGACGGACCTTGAGGTGCTGGTGACATAAAGGCTGATCGTATCCGTCGTAGGAGTCTGCACGAATCGATAATTCCTGGTCTTGAAAGGGAGGCTGCTATCGTGTGTTCGCCATGTGAAACGGCTCGCATGAACACCTGGACGTTCACGTCCATCCGAATTTCTATGGCACGGAGATGAACTTCGCCTATGGGATTGTCGCGATGAACACGAGTGTGCGTGAGCTAACGATCGCGAGCTCTAGTGTCATGTGATGAGCTTCTTGCGCGGCTATGTGGGGATATAATTCTACTCGGAATGGAAACGTCCATGACTGTGATGTCTTCTGTCCGAACTGGCAGTATGTCCACTCGTGTGCGTACAAAGAATGCGGTGATAGCTGCAATGACGACAGTTGGGATGGTCACATTCCTGACTGAACTGTCCAAGCGGAGACATTTCCAACAGACGAATTGTTCGGGCGATGATGCGACGATTCACTGGAGTCGCACGCACAGCAGCCACACCGTGGCTCAGGCGCTAATGGTTGAAAGCGAGTAGTAGAGAGAGGATTGGCATGAAGTTCTGAGCTTGGTTGGGCTACCATATGGGCTAACATCTCCTCGTATTACTCATTGACTTCATTCTGTCCGACCAGTAGTCTCGCTAACGTACATTGTTTGCCCGACGATGTTCCAACCTGTTGACTTCCAACTGGGTTTCCTTAGCGAACTTGCTTTGAAAGCTTGTCTCTCGTCTCCGACGCGTGGGGCCTTGATTGGAGCGCGGCATTCTATCGGTGCATATCATGGATGTCAAAAAGGTTGACGGGAATAACGATTGGAAGCAGAATTGCGCGAAACAACACGGTTTGGATGGATCGCAAACAGCTGCTCCTCAAAAAGTATGAGATGATGTTTTGAAGGGAGTTTTTTGTATGGTAACTTTGAACAAAATTTCCATATTCGAATTCGGCCATTTTGCATAAGAAATGTTAACACTTGTTCGAAAGGATATGGTTTTACGTCGCAGTAATTGACACCCCGTTTAGACCTTTCTGGTTCAACACGGCCACAATTACTTTGTCACCATATTTATGGCTCACCTTATACAACATTAAGGCAAAAGTCGGGCTCAATAAGGGGTATTATGGCGATTGAAACTGAGTATAGAGATGCGAAGTGGAACGACAGTGGAGAAAAAACTGAGAAAAACCGTCGACAAGGCCGTTAACAAAACCCTCTTTCCCACTAGCAGTGAAGGAGGCTGGCTTGGGAGAAGAGAG